TGGCCATCATGGCTAGTCCTGCCCAACCTTCCTCTTCCAAAAGTGGTTGTGCATATTTAGAAAAGCTGAGACCTTTGAAAATCTGTGTCCTGGTTGTTTATTTCCGAGTCTTCATTTGCTTTAAGTTATAATGTTTAATAGCTTCTTAAGGATTGCTTCTCTCTGTTCTGAATTTAAAAGAAACTGGACTCAAAAGATTTCCTCTGACACTTCTGATCTCTCAACTTCTCTCTGCCAACAAACCCTAGCATATCAGCATTTCCTGTAATATGGCTGTTGGTGCTCAGATGACAAGATACACTTCAGTTTAATGGAAGTGAGCATAATTCTCACTGGACTGCACCCATTTTTCTCATTCTCTTTCCAAAAAATGTGGGGGCTTTTTGCCAAGGTTATAACTCACACCTGTAATCTTAGCACTTTGGGAGGCTGATGCTGGAGGATTGCTTGAGGCCAGGAGTTTGAGAACAACCAGGGCAACATAGCGAGACCCTGTCTCTACAGGAAATAAAAGTTTTCCTTAACATATACATCAACTGAGTGGTTAGTTTTGTAGGTCTTAGGATTTTTGTTCTCTTTTAGGAAAGTTTCCTCATATACATTTTTTAAAGCATGTTTCTTCCCCTTTCATTTTTCAAACCTCATCCTAAGCCTCTCCTGCCTGCTTTCCTTCTCCCATCCTCTCTCTCCCTTGTTTGCAAATTAATTTCTAAAAATGACGTTTTCTGCTCCATGATCTAGACCCCACCAGTGATCAATGAAGTGAGTATCAGTTACAAGCACAAGTCCAGTAGGAGCCAGTTTGGCTTAAACTCAACCTTCCTTGGTAAACCAAGAGAATATATAATCCTGATTGATTACTCCCAGGGAATATATTTGTGTCATTGGTAGTGAGTGCAATTGAACTAAAATGGTTCTTAATTCTAAACCCTCTTTTAGGCTTTTACCTTCTCACATGTCTATGCCACAGTAGATGGTTTGGATAAAGAATGAGGAGATGAAAACTTATTTCAAAGCTTTGTACGGTACTGATTAGGTTGCACCATCTGAGCTCCTTAAGCTTCTTAGAATTTGTCTTAGAGGATGTAATAAACTGTGATGCATTGATCTGGCATAGGGTCCCTGGGCATTGGTGCTTGAAGGATTCCATTTACTGAATCCTTAACTCTGCAGCAGGTACTCCATGCTCAATCTATTACTAAAACAGCTTAATGTCTGAAAAATGTGATAAGCATGCTTGCTTCCCTAGGAGCAGAGTTTATGATTCCCTGTATGCAAATATCTCCTGAGGTCCAGGAGAATGTCTCTTGCTACAATCCCATGTAATTTCTTCATCTTTAGTAAAAAGTACTAAACCATAAACTTTTCCCCAGAATTATTTCATCTATTTTTTTAAAAAATTGAATAACAGTCCTAAAGGCTGTCTATGCAGTCCAGAACTTACCTTCTTTGTCGTAAGCATAGAAAATGTTTTAATTATCGAAATTTAGGGTTTGATTTACCCAAACATTGGAGTTCTTTTGTTTAACTAAAATTCCTTAGGCTCTAATGATTTTTTTTTCATTTATTTTCTATATCCTTCTCATGAAAAACTTCGGATTCTCAAAGGAGTAATCTAACTTTTCCTGTTGCTGTTTAATAACATTTTAATTATTTTTTTAAATTAACAAATTTGTTTTATAGAGATGAGGTCTCGCTGTGTTGTCCAGGCTGGTCTCAAACTCCTGGCCTCGAGAGATCCTTCTGCCTCGGTGTTCTAAAGCACCGGTTTTTTGTTTTGTTTTTTGTTTTATTATTGCAGGCACCTGTCCTTAATTATTTTTAATGACATATTCTGCATCATATCTATATGTATGTTTTAAACTTGGAAACCTTTAAGTGCATGCACGATACACATGGTAGATTCACAAATGGGCTCTTGTTGATGGTAATAATAGAATAAATTTTAGCATTCCGTATGGAGAGGTCCAATCCCGAGAGTGCAGAGTGATGACGAATTGAGGGTTGTTGGATCCTGGTGTTCCCTTTGGCCATTAACATTGATACAGGAGTAGCAAAGCAAAATCCTAGGAAAGACATAAGTGGAGCTACAGGGCTGGGAAAATGAGCAGCTGTGGGGCAGAGGTGGAAACATCAGTAGCAACAGGGGCTGAGTATAAGCACACCACATGCTTGGAAACTAACATCCAAGACTTGATCTGAGTTCAGAGCCCATGGGGCTCTGGAGGAAGCTCAACAGGGAACCTTGGAAGCTCTTTCCTCATCTGATGGAGTGTTTAAGCACAGTTCCCCTCAGGAGGCCCTCTTTTGACAGCCTTGTGGATATCTCTCCACAAAGCTCAAAGGCATGGACCTTGCTTCCGACAGAAATGAGAGTGACCAGGTGACTCCGACCTCCTTCTCCTGTCCCTGGAGGTTTGGTCTGATCATTCAGAGACAGTGTTATATTTTCCTCACATTCACTTTCACTCTGACTTCCAGTTCTCTACTGGATCTAAGTGTCTGTCAAGTATATCTCCAAGTCAGACAGCACATTGACCACAGCCTAAATAAGGGAACATTACAAGTTAACCCTTTTCCTTCTTGGAAAAAAAAAGTGCAGCTCACTGCCAATGCTCATTTAATTTTACATAAACTCAGTCTTTGAGGCTGAAGCAAATCTAACTCATTTTCAGTGTGAAAATAAAATCTAAAAACTGTTCTTGGAGCTATTTCTAAACAGAACTAACATCAGTATCATCTGAATCATCAGAATCCTCCATTTCAGAAAAAAATCACGTTTACCAAATGAATCTTTGGCCAATAACTCTTCAAGATAGATATTAACATCAGTGTAGGAACACTATGTTTTCTAGGATTTGACATTTTCAGCAATCAAGAATCACTGTATATTTTGTAAATGGAGATACCACTACTAAAAACAGAATTCTACAAATAGAATGATTTCGTTTCCAGAGTCAATACACTAGAGCGAGGCAAAAATAATAATAAAAGTAAGATATTTTGTGGCAGTTATCTTAAATGCTGCATCTGTAATGTAAGCACCACTAGAGAGTATTCTCAGGGCAAAAGGGAAAGGGAATGAATGTGCATTTCAGAAGTGAGAGGAGCTGCCTCTGTAGCAGCTACCATGGGATTCCACAGCCCAGATGCCATGGGCACAACACAGAACCCTGAGCTGCAGAATTGGCCCCTTAGCATCCATAAACCCATGTGGCAGGTGATACCCCAATGATGAGGAATGGAACATGGAGATCCACTCAAGGACTGTAGGTTCCGCAAACAAACAAGTCAAGGACTTCAGCCCACTCTGTAGCAGTGGGCCTGGCCCTCTCACTTTCCTCCTTTTGTGGCTCTGTTGTCCTGCTTTGTTCCTGGATCTACCCACTTCTAATCCTCTCCACTATGTACTTGACCCCTGACCCTGTGCACTACACATCCATTAGCCTTCTGCTTGCTGGAGATTTCTATTTATTTGTTTAAATTTAACAAACATGTTGGTCTCAGTACTTTACAAATATGAATCCCTACAATGATGAAATGATGAGGTAATCCTAGTGTTACCCCCAACTTGTAGAGGAGTTTGTCCTCGCTTTCGCCTGTCAGTGTTCCTAGACATTGCATACGGCCAGCCTCTTGGGCACCCAGCTCGGTCAGCATCACTATTATCGGTCTCCTATGAGTGCCTCTCTCAGAGTGGGGTTGGATGGTGATCACTGTATGGAGCATCAGAGCTTGACCTTTTGGAGCCAGGCAGTCTGGGTTTGTCAGGTTTCCCACATACTAACTGAGTGACTCTAAGCAAGTATGAGTTTCCTCATCAGTAAAGTAGGAATCAAATCTACCTTGGAGAGTCATCCAGGAGGTTGAACATCACATGAAGAAAACCCTAGCAACGTGCCTAGAACAGAAAAGCATTCAGGAAAAGATAGCTACTGTTATTCCCACTGACTCCCCCTGGAGTATAGAGAAAGTCCTGCTTGATTACACTGCACGCAGTTGAAACTTTAGAAGTAAAAGTGGTCTTTGATTTTGGCTAGTTGAATTCTTTCCTTTTTGAACGGGGAGACTGAAGCCCAGAAATCTTTAGACATTTTTTGAAGTCACCCCCTAGTTAACAAGAAAATGGAGAAAGACCTGAGGCCACCTGATTCCTTACTGTGTCTTTAACTACCACAGCCCGCCTCTACTGAACTTGAAAGGCTCAATCTCACGTGGGCGGAGCCGGAAGCAGGAGATGATCTGTCAGACGATGGAAGGCCCCAGGACGTTCTTCTCCTTCCACTCATTTTCCAGTAGAAGCAACTCCTCGCCTCAGACATCTTTCTTCAGGTTCCGAGAAGAAGAAAGCTATTGTTCAGAGGCAAATATATAGAGCTCTTGCTATAACTGCCTGCTTTTCAGTCACAGTGGTTTTTTGACTCAATTCTTCCAAACTTTGTAGAGGCTCATCTTGTTTGAAATAGAAATGTGCCTTAGTCTCTTCTTTTCCTCTTTTTTATGTGAATGGTCACCCTGCTTCTAGGGTAATACATAATATTGCTTTAGCTTATATTTATCTTTTTCGAATAATTTACAGATAGAAATTTACTTCTTAGAGTTACAAAAAGTATTCCTGGGACTGAAGTTCAACAATTTGATGTCTCTGGTGGCAGGAATTTGGTTGTAGTAATATTGCTACCATATGGATAAATACGTAACTATGGAAAACTGGGATGAGAATTCCAGGGCATTTTACTGGGACCACCAAAATGAGGAATGACATATTCAATTCTAAGGCACTAAAGTGAAGAAGAATTCTGCCTTTTAAGTTGGAGTATCATGTCAAAATGAAAACCTTATTATAAATAAAAAGTACATATACACATAAGAACAAAACCTCTTCAGCTCTGGGGAGAATCTATGTGACACCAACATAGTTAGACTGTTTCAGAATTATTTAAAAAAACAATGAATCAGCAAAGCTGTCATCATCATTTATTCTTTTCTTTCTCTATAATGAAAGCACTGCTCTTTTTCCTCTCCCAAATGAAAATCGGTTAGGCCTGCCTTAGAATATTGAACTATTTGGGATTTTCAGGCCTTTTTGCTCATATTTATCATTGAGGCGACTGACTGGTGAGCTGGACCCATTGTGCTCTGAGAAGCTTTTTGTATCAAGCACTGCTTTAAGTTAGGTGTTGAATGCGGCATCAAAGGTAGGCAGGCAGACATTCAGAGGCAGATGTGGGCACATTCCCAAAAGTTCAGTGCCAAGGGCCTTGTGTTTCTTAACAGAGGTGACCTGGAAAGATTCCAAGAACAAGATGAAAAATACAAAGTTGACTTTAGTTAAAGGGAAGGAGAAAGGAAAGCATTGAAAGCTTGAATCCTGTTAACTTGAAAAGTTGAGTTCTGGTCTTTTAAAAGCTTCCTTCCAAAATAGACCCGAATTAGTTTAATCTCTCGCCAATTGTAGATTTAAATTTAGCTTCTCACACTTATTAATCTTTTTAGCAGTGAAAATACTCATTGTTGCTAATAGGAAATTGATTTAGTATTTTCTGTTTATAATGAACTTTCGGTTAACTTGGATGGTTAAAACAAAGACCATCGTTACCGATTTCATTAACGGGTCCCTAGCTGAACAGACGGAGAGTCACGAGGGCTAGGGCCAGCACACAGAGCCAGCCAGACGTGCACACAACTTCCACCACTTCCACTCCGCTGCTTTTCATTTCAAGCGCTGCTTTGTTTTTAAGTTAGGTGTTTAGGATGAATTTAGGATTTTGGACAAGCCGCTTAATTTCTCTAAACCTCACTATTGTCATCCATAAAATGGGAATGTTTTTATTACACGGAAGTGATCAAATGAATGTGAAGTATGACACTTGCTACGTAGTACATTCTATAATTCATAGATATGTTAAATTGCATATGTTTGGAAAGATCTGGAAGTAGTATCAGGACCAAGTGCAGACTTCCTTTTTACACATAGAGTAGGTGAAATAGAATTGTGGATGCTTTACCCAGGACCATGTGGCCCGTAAGTCATAAATTTGGCCAGAGTTATGGTGAGAATCCAGATTTTTGCCTTCTTTCCACTGAACCTACTTTGTATATGTCTAAGGCTATTTTAAATTTAATTGCTGTAAAATAATGATTTTGTAGTGAGATAAAATGTATATTATTACAGTGATATAAAACTGCTATATAAAACAATAACTACCATTTTTGAACATGTATTGCCAGTCGTTTTACTAAGTATTTATGTATATTATCTCATTTAATCCTTATATTGACCACGAAGGTAAGTACTACTATTGTACCTATTTTTCAAAGTTGAAGAAAATTAAACACAGAATATTTAAATACTTTGTCCAAAGTCATACATTTACTAGTGGCAGAAACATGGTTTGGATTCAGAAAACCTGCCCCTAGAGTCAGTGCTCTTAACCTTCACACTGACTGCACCTGAATATTTGAAAATGAGAAGAAACTAAGACTTATGTAAGTGGTTATCACTCTCATATACGTGGGCAAACTTGGAAAACAATGAAGGCATGTTGCAAAGAACAGTAGACTCAGATGGCCACATGCTGGTCATCACAACTTTACGGCTGCATTTAAATGACTCCCCAGAAAGCATAGGTAGCTATGTAGCTCATAAGGAAGTTCAGATGTCAGAAGCCCCGTTTTCAATCCTGCTCTGTGTCTTTCTAGAAGACCAAACTTGTGCATGAAGGCCTTATGCTTGTTGGGTTTTGGTTACCTGTTTTGTTAAATGAATATGATAAACCTCAAGATATTATTGGGAAGACTTAAAAAGATGTAAATGCAATTGCATGGCATATAAAATGGCCCCAAAGAGAGTCCCTGCCTTAGTGGAAAATGTTTGGTATCCTTTTCTAGTTTTCCTGACTCCTCTACCAGCTTTAGAAAATTAAACCTAGTAACACATTTGCCCATTTCCATCAGGCTGGAATCTATTCGAGGTAAACTGCAGTCATTCCTGGGCTACCCTGCCTGTGGCACAAGCCCTACTCATGGACTGGACTGCAGACAATGATGCTCTCAAGGGCTGACTTGAGAGAGAATTTCTGCCCCACAGACTTTTCAGAGCATTTAGCTTTTAGAAGCACACATCTCTTAGTTGGGAGATGCTTTCTATTTGGTTGGTGCAAAAGTAATGGCAAAAACAGCAATGACTTTTGCACTAACCTAATATTGTTCTTTGGGTTTAGACCTCTGAAGACAGATACACAACAAAGCACAATGTGGTGTTGGCGTGCAGAAACCCAGGCCTCAGCACAGCCAGAAATGGAAAAATACCCTCAAAGAGCTAGAGAAGGGGGAGCAGATCTGGAAAGGGGTTTAACTAATGTGGCAAATGGCCCGGCACACTCCCCTCTCCTAGTTTGTTTTGATACATCTCCACCTGGTCCCCAGGTGTGTAAGAACCACAGAATATTCTTCATGCCACTGCTGTGGGCCAGACTCATGCAGTGGGAGCTGGGCTGTGCACCTCCGAACAATGGCTTTATTCTTTCAGGTGCCTGAAGAGAGGTCTGAATGTAGAAGGAGCTGCTACTGCTAAGGCCAGAGAGGAAGGAAGGTCATATACTTTGCGGAATTTGGGCCCAGTGAAAAAAGCTGGGAAGTTGCAAGATGCCATAGGGAAAGGTGAAGCCAGTCCTTCCCTTCCAGCCTCTACCCCAAGTGTGAGATAACCATGAAGGTGAATTGGCTGCATATTGAGAAGGGAAAGGAGTAAGGAGAAAACATTTGTTTTCTTCGAAAACCCAGGAGTTTAAGTCTAGAAATACAAGAAAGTTGCCAGAACAGAAAGGTGCGGGGCGGGGTGTGGGGGGTTGTTCTGGACTTCACACAAGGATCTGTAGGAATAAAGCAAGTTCTGGAGAGTTGGTTTTGGTGTTAATTATTTCACACTGGAAATCATCATAACAAAATGGTAAATTCTGGAATTTCCACTTTTCCTTCACCTGAAGAGGGTATACATTTTTTTCTTTGGCCAGACAGAGACCTCACATTTTCAGAGACAGAGGTGAATTGGAAAGAACAGTTTTCCACCTCAGAGTTTTATGGAATTGGCAGGAAAACTTTATTAGTCTCAAGGCAAAATACAGACTATGATATTCTCAAATTTTTCTATTAGGAGAAAAGGTGGCAAGAACTTCATAGAATTTTGTCAGAGGAGATTTGGCAAAGCATCGTATTATATAGACGTATGTATGAAATTAAATTTCTTATATGAAGCTTTTAGCAATGGAGAAAACAAATGGTATCTCACATAAATGGGATGAGACTTAGCTATTTGTAACCTCGTTACATTGAAATAACTGAAATTGTAAAGAGACATGAAATAATAAGCTGCCTGCCTAAACATGGATTTTCTAGTTTGAAACAAATGCCTTGCATCTAGATTAATAAGGTGACGCAAGACACTACATCATCCGGCAGGGGAAGATTTAAAGCAGGTCAGGTTCCTTGGGAGGAGAGGAAAATAACTTTTAAGATGAAAGACCAAAAAAAGAAAAAAAAGAAAAAGAAAACCTGTGTGTGGTCCAAACTCCTTTTTTTAAAAAAAATTTGCCAAAGGTTTTTAAGTTACATGGTGATAGTTTCTCAAAGTTTTAATGATTCACTTGCAAGGCATTATTAGTCATATCTTTGACCTGATGAAGAACACGTAAATAAGAACCCTTTTTTTTTCTAATCATTGATGTTTAATACTGAGAGTATTGGGAAATGTGATGGGAGAAGGTGCATTTAATAATGCCTATTTCCCAAGGAGGGTAGAGAGAATGTTGGCATTTGATTGCACATAATTCTTTAAAAATATACTTAGTAAGTTTAGGCTAACAGGGAAAAGAACTGTTTGGCGAAAACAGGACAGACCTCCCAGAAAACTTAAACTTGACCTTCTCATTTCTGCTCTTGAAATGGGTACACTATTTAAGACCCTCTTAACCTGTAGCTCAGTGAAATCTTCTAATTAGGAATATTTTCTCTTTTTATTGCCCTTTAAAAATACATGTGCTGGCTACCTGAAGCCACATTCTTTGAAACAACCAGTGTGGTACAGAGTAGCTTTGACACCAGAAAATTAGACCTTTTAAAGAAAGAAATTTATATAAATATTCTTTTATACTTCACTTGGTAGTTAGGGGCTATAGACAGTGGTTTCAAATATCAATGATCACCTAGTTGTTTATTTACAATTACTCGGTAATTTGTAGCTACTTTTAGAGCCGTGAAAAGTAGTAGATGAACTTTCTTGTCCTAGCCGCTACTGTAGTTGGTAGGGTTTAACAAACTTGTTTTTAGTATCTCAAGTTCAAAATATATAAAATGGATTTCTTCTTTGTTCTTATTTTATTTATTTTTATTATAATTATTTTTTGAGACGGAGTCTTGTTCTGTTGCTCAGGCTGGAGTACAGTGGTGTGATCTCGGCTCACTGCAACCTCTACTTCCCAGGGTCAAGCAATTCTCCTGCCTTAGCCTCCTGACTAGCTAGGACTACAGGCATGCAACACCACACCCAGCTAATTTTTTGTATTTTTAGTAGAGATGGGGCTTCACCATGTTGACCAGGATGGTCTCGATCTCCTGACCTCAGGTGATCCACCTGCCTTGGCCTCCCAAAGTGCTGGGATTACAGTCATGAGCCACCACGCCCGGCCTCTTTGTTCTTATTTTAAAATACACAGTTGTGGCTTCTGTAGTGTTATCCTTAGTGCATCTTGGAATGGAAAATAAATCGCGTATACCATAGAGACTGATACTAATGAGAAATCTCTTAACACTGTAAGAAGTGTTTGGAAGAGGAAACATGCAGTGAATTGTACAGGATTTCAGGTGTTACTATGTGGGGGAAATGGCTCAAAAGGCAGATACTGTAAGAGTTGGAAATGATTTATAGGTACTCTTTGGATAAGGATGTTGTTCTAAATCTTCCTTCTACCCATCTCACAGATCAGTATTCTGAGAACATGTGCCAAGTCAAATAATTCTTCAACTCAGCTGACCTAGTGTCCTATTCTAGGCCTTGTTCTGTGTAACTGTTCCAGTGCATGTCTTCTCTCTGACAGCCAGCTTCTTCAGGTCAGGGATTACATTTAAATTTCCTTTCAATCCCAGTATTAACGATAATTGTATGTGTAAGTGCTCATGTCCCTTTGCCTTTGTACCTTAGTAACACAATAGTCTATTTTCCATCCATATCTAAAAATGTACTCCATGTGATTCCATTTTGATTTATTCCCTACAGAAAACCATCAGATGATTTTATTTTATTTTTGTTAGGCAATAAATGCACAGGGTACAAAATTTAGAAGTTACAAAAGGGTATACAGGAAAAATAAGTTTTTACTTTATTTCTCAATCATGTAGCTTCCCTGGCGAGGTGCAAAGTCTGTTAGATATCTTATTTCTTAGGAATCCTCCTAGATATATTCTAACATACGTAAGCAAATAACATACATTTGGTAGCCTATGACTAATCCCATTTTAGGCCCTTAATACAGTGAGAAATAAACTGTGGCTAGGTAGAGATTTCTTGGATGACAGAGGCACAGACCCTGAGTGTTAGCATATGTGCTCACTGAGCATTCCTGAAGCATTAGGTCCCCTGCCCTGGGTTCCTCCATTACAGTGATTACTTCATATGACCGTGCTTGATTTGAATGTCAGGCATGCTTATACTGGGGCACAAGAGCAGCCCTGTGGAACTCAGTTCATTTATATTCTTATCTCCTGGATATTCTTTGAATTGCTTTTTCATCACTGTGGTAAAAAAAGTAGTAGCAGCAGTGGTAAAGTGGCTAATACCTACATAGCACTTACTACATACTAGACATGGTTTCAAGTATTTACTTAATAACTCATTTAAACTAAAATAAAATCAACCTTAAACCTGGATTCAAGTGTCTAGCGCTAACACAGCTTACTGAGGAATTTACTCCCACATGAACTGGATCAGTAACTTTACATACTTTTGAGATAAATCCAGGGACATCCATAATATTTATGGAGAGCAAAAGGATTTTTGGTGTAATCCACCAACGCACAGGTTAGGATGAACGTAGACACACCCTTCGTCGTAAAGCTATAATTTATCTGACTTAGAATTCAAATATTTTATGGGTTAAATATAGTTAGTAAGGATGCCCATAAAGCTGTAACTTATCTGACATTGGAATCAAACATTTTATCGGTTAGATGTACCTATTAAGGATACCCATAAACTTTCTCCACCAGGGGACAATGGAAAATCATAGTTACATCTTCTGTTTTTACAGTTATAAGGTATAAACCAGAGGTTGCCTTCTTTGTGTGGATGGGTGGGTAGATGGGTATACAAAATTCAATCTCCTTTTCCTCCAATATGAAAATAACCTTATGTTTTCTAATTACATAAATATTATATACCTACTGCAGAAAACCTTAGAAACTTCAGTCAATTATAAAGAAAGTTAAAAGTCATAATCTAACCTCACAGAAATAGAAACCAGTGTTACCCTTTTCCATTTTGTATCTTTCCAGAGATTTTCTATACATGTATATATGTTTATATACATGTACATCTTTCCAGAGTGTTTTTCTATACATATACATACCTATACATTTTGATTTTCTTTTTTTGCTAAAATAAGATCATAGTCAACGTACTTTCCTTCTATAATGTAATATATTACATAGATGTCTCTGATATAAATACATATTTATATTACCTTTTTAGTTTTATAGTGCTCCCTTGTATAATTGTACCATAATTTAATTAACTAGTCATTGATATTATTTTAGGTATTTGAAAGGTTTTGATAATATAAGTAAATATTATTGTACATACATCTTTATCTCTGTCTCTGCTTGTTTTTCACATATTTGGTTAAGTTGTTAGATAGATTTTTAAATAAATGACATAACCACATATTCCATAAGTAGAGTGATACCTTCATATGAAGTGATCATTCAGAAACTTTGCTGTTACGTTGGATGTCACTTCTTTTTAATTGAGAATCCATTTCTCCTGACATGATGAGATCACTGGCATATGGTAATAGTCGAGGTTTCATTATCCCTTCCTCTGTTCATTTTTGAAGAGGAATCTGGAAGGTACAAATACATGCTAGTGCAGACAGCAGGCAATGCAGTGGTTAAAAGTGAGAGAGTGACATGTGTCTAATATGGTTATGATGGTTTAAAAATAAATATCTGAGCCAGGCATGGTGTCTCATGACTCTAGTCCCAGCACTTTGGGAGGCTGAGGTGGATGGATCACTTGAGGTCAGGAATTTGAGACCAGCCTGGCTAAGATACAGTGAAATCCCATCTCTACTAAAAAAAAATATAAAAATCAGCTGGGCATAGTGGCACACCCTGTAGTCCCAGGTACTTAAGGAGCTGAGGCAGGACAATTGCCTGAACTGGGGAGGCAGAGGTTGCAGTGAGCTGAGAGCACCAATGCACTCCAGCCTGGGTGACAGAGCAAGACTCTGTCTCTAAAAAACATTAAATAAATAAATAAATATGTGGATTAGGAAAATTGACAAAGCACCTTAATATTGCCCGTTTCTCCTTCATGCTGAGTTCCAGGGAGCTCCAGCAAGAACAGGTTTGGAAATTCCTAGTTTAGAGCCTACACCTGTGAGATGCTCACTGAGGAGGCCCTCGAATCCTGCTGTTTCACCTTTTTGCTACTGCATCTCTTTGTGGAATGATACCACTGTTCTTCCTTTCTCAGGCAGTACTATAAAGTGAACCAAACACCAGTTATTCGAAGATGCTTGGAACTCTAGAAGAAATTCTTTAATAGTGGAAAGCTGTAAAATAAAGTATATATACATACAATTTTTATAACAAGTCTAAAGCAGGCTAATCAAATGACTTAGCTTTTTGCATAAAGTATGTGTATTTTAGGAGTACCAGTAAAATATTAAGCTGGCTGAAAAATTGGAGGTGGTGTTTTCATCCCTCTCAGTTGTCATTCCATAGCAAGGATTCTTAAAATTGTACAACCCAGTTTCAGATTCAAATAAGAATATGAGATGTTTCTATAGCTATTTTACTGTATTTCTGTTGTGTTAATGAAAGACACTGATAAAAAATACATATAGTATCTAAAACTCCATTCTGTTTCAGACCAGTCTATGAATATTCCCCAAGAGTGGATGTTACAAGGTTGTTTAGATCAGCCTTAGTTTTTTTAACTTTCCCTAAATACACCAAGTAATGCTTCATACTAAAAAAGTTTTTAAAAATTTAAAAATGTTGGCCAGATATGGTGGCTCACATCTTTAATCCTAGCATTTGGGGAGGCCAAGATGGGAGGATTGCTTGAGACTAGGAGTTGGAGACCAGCCTAGGCAACACAACCAGACCCTGTCTCTACAAAATATATATTTTTTTAGTTGGCCAGGCATAGTGGTGACACAGGATTTTCTTCTCGGTTACTTTGCAAGCTGGGGACCTCCAGCCAGCGATGCCCTGCCTGGTTCTTGCTCGGCCATGCTACCTGCTGCAGGAGGTGGCCCACCCACTTGGCCCACCTGGGCTGAGTCTGGCTTGAGCAGTGGTTGCCAAGTTTTTGTCCTGTGCCCGAGAAGAATGAAGATGCACTGACAATCCCAGAGTGAACAAGGCGGGTAGTTTTACTGAGTGATGAAAACAGCTTTCAGTGGAGAGGGGACATGGGGGTGTCTCCCTACCCAAAGGTGGAACGTACCCTCAACGTGGCTGACTCCTGGGGCTTTTTATGGGCTCAGAATAGGAGAAGGGCAGGCAAACAGCAGCAGAAGATTTCACTTTGGGTTGCGAGTTTCATCCGGAACCAGCAGTGGGATCTTTTAGCCTTCCGTAGCCTTCTGGCTGTTTTTTTTTTTTGCTTGATGGTGGGTTTCACCAGGGACCCACCCCTGTCTGCCTAAGCATTTGGCTGCCTCCTGTTGCTGTCAGTGGCACGTGCCTGTAGTCTTCACTACTGGGGATACTAAGGCAGGAAGATCAATTGAGCCTAGAAGTTCAAGGCTGCAGTGAGCTATGATTGTGCCACTGCACTCCAGCTTGGGTGACAAAGTGAGACCCTATCTTAAAAAAAAAAAAAAAAGCTATCATCTGCCGCCTAAAACATTTTATGTAGCTACTCAATACACAATAGAAAACACACACACACACAAAATTTTCCAACTTCATTTTGCACTACCTTTTTGAAGGTATTAAAATGAATCAATAAAACTGACACATACCAAACAAAGTCAGGAGGTAAGTAAGGGAAAAGCGCCTTGATCAGAGAGATAAGGTAACAAGAATGAATCTACGTAAATGAAGATTTAGAGCAAACTGCTGATTAGCATCATAAAAAAGAAAGAACTATGGTCCCTGAATTTATGTTCTAAGAAGCAGAAAAGTTTTCACATATCGCACACACTGTACACATCTGTGCTGAGATCTATCTACACTGAGTTTAAAGTCCATCACTCCTGGCATACCTTGTCCTAGCTGATTCCTATAACAATTTCTTAGTAATGTGTACACAGAGTCCTCTCAATACCTATTAAACAATATTGCCAAAGCTGGGAGTCTTCAAATTTGTCACTACCACCCATCTCTAAAGCCTACACATATGTCAGCCATACTGGCACATCTTTTCTTCAAATTTGCAAAAAGTTATTGGGTACTGAAATGTGTAAGTTAATGCTTCTTAATAGAAAGGGCCCTAGAGTATATGCCCTAAAAAGAAACCTCCTCTGGAGGCTCTTAGTTAAAATTGTTAAGTAGGGCCACCCAAAGCAAAGTAGTTTTTTTCAATTAATTCAAAAGAATCCTGTTAAAAAAAAACAAAAGAACATTTTGATTAAGCGCTTCACTTAAAAATATGTTGAGGTCCAACAATTGGTAATCCCTTTGGTAGAAGCACTATTAGTATGTTCCATTTCACTTCACCAGAAAATAAAAAAGGATGAGGATTGAGTTCCTCTGCACCATAGATTCCTAGAGGGCAGGGAGTTCTAGATCAGAGTTTTTCTAATCAGAGGAATACTTCAAATGCTTCCTAGGATTCTTTGGTGGGTATTTGGCAAGCAGAGATTAGCTTAAGCATTGCTAGATTTTTTTTTACTATTTCAACTTTGCCTAAGGATAATATTTCAGAATCTGAATCTTGTTCTTCTTTCTTCATCTGAATTGTATCCTTTCGTTATACATATTTGTTCTTAAGTATAGTCAAATATAGCGCCAAAAGCTCAATAGTCTAAGTATTGCCAACTACAAGGTATAATATGTATTTCATTTGTTTTTCCATAACCTAGAATGGGAAAGTATGAAAATGAAGAAGACTTGTCATTTACAATTATGCAGCCTCCATCTCTATACTTATTATTCTGCTAGAATGATACTGCTATCACTTCAGGCCTGGATCACTCTCCACCCCGTCCAGGTCTCTGCATATCCCTATCCCCCCATTATGGATTAGACTCCAAAGAAGAATATATTTTACTTTGTTGTTGTTCAGTCTAAAGCTCCCTCTCACCCTGTTTTCCCAGGAGGCTATATTGAATTGTGAATGAGAGCATTAGGCTTTGGAGCAAATCAACCTAAATAGTTCAAATCCTGGCTGTGCCAATTACATAGGCATGTTACTTTGGTCAAGTCAGTTAATCAGTTTTCCCATCTGCTCATTTAGAATACCAGTATATACTTAGGGTTGTGAAAATTAAGTGAGAAGTATATTAGGTACATTACAGTGCCTGGAATAAGGGAGAGTTCAGTGCATGCTAGTTAACTTCAGAACTATATCCTCACATACTGAAGTATATGGAGCAAATGATAGTTGGAGTCAGTTATTTTTCTGTTCTTTGCTCCTTCCTTTTGTGGGAAAAGTAAGACCCTTAAGACCTTTTTTTGCATTTTTTATAGAGATAAAATTCATATAACGTAAAACGCATTATTTTAAAGTATAAAATTTAGTTATTTTATGATATTCACAATGTTTTGCCACCATAACCACTAATTCAAGAATGTTTCCATTATTCTAAAGAGAAATCTCATGCCCATTAAGCAGTCACTCTAAATTCTTCCCCAACCCTTATCCCCTGGAAATGACTAATCAACTTTCCATCTTTATGAGTCTGCCCATTCTAGACATGTCGTGTAAATCTAATCATGTGATATGTGGCCTTTAGTGTCTGCCTTTTTAAATTTAGCATCATGTTTTAAAGGTTCATCCATGGTATAGCGTGTATCTACACTTCATTCCTTTTTATGCCTAAATAATGTTCCATTTTATGCAAATACCATATTTGTTTTTCCATTAATCATTTGATAAGACATTTGGATTGTTTCCATATCTTGGCTATTATTAATAATGCTGCTATGTACAATTGTGCACAGGCTTTTGTGGGAACATATCTTTTCAATTAGGACCATTAAGAATTTGCTTCCCAATATCACACGCTAGTAGTGATTATTGTAATTTTCTACAGTGGACATTAGGAGTCATGGAGGATGGGGAGGGGGTTGGGAGTATCTTAAATTTCAGTGACTTCAAAATGTTTGAACCCTCCTCTCTTTTCAGAATGCATGCTACAAGCAGTTATACTGCCATGCTTTTGTCCAGTACTTTAGGTAAAGTTAATGCAATAATAATTATATGCAATCATATAACATACATGCAAACATATATGCATGCACATGCTGGGCTGAAGTGACCTTTTCTAGTACAAAATAAGCTCTGGTCCTGCCCTGAATTATTAAGGAGTTTTGTGTATGAAGATATCCCCTTCCCTCTATCGGGACCCTTTTGGATCCCTTTAGCCTCCACCTTTTCCATTCTTCTGCCCCCAGAATCTGATGCTGTCCTAAGAATGTTTGGCACCCATCATCTTTGAGAAAAGGTTACACAAATTACATCTTTCACCAGGGACTTATATTTTAACAATGTGCTTCTTTTCCCAGAAGTAGCTCCACATTAAAGGAAAACAGAGTGAGGACAATATTTGACACAAGAGATGGTTAATAATGGTGGTTTTTTACTCACCAGGAAGATATTTGAATTAAGGCCGTTGCCAGTGTTCATAGCTTCCCATTAGGGAGATTACTACTTTCTTCTGTACCAAGATTGTGTTTTCAGATCTTTTTCCATCTTTTGTAAGCCTTCACCCCGTTTGATCATGTGTGATATATATAAAGCCTGATTCTTACTATTTTTAACTTTTCCAAGGGTGTTCCTTATTAAAGTGTTGGCATTATACCAGAAGTCCACACCCAGCAGGGTTAATGCCCCACCCCACACAAATACCCTGCTTTGACATTTGATACGTTGGACTCAAGTCTTGTTAAGCAACTTTGAAAAAGTTATTTAACCTCTCTGAGCCTCATCAGTATCCTCAGTTCTGTAGCAATAATAATAATGTTAACGCTCCATAATTACTGTATGGATTAGAGATTAAAGCATCTAGCAAAGTATTTAGTACTTGATTAGTGCTCACCATATAGTAATTGTATTATTGCTGCTGTTCACAGTGAGAAGAAGCCAGATGTGGTTTCCTAGGTCCTACCCATGTACAGAAGGCTCCTGTGCCTGGTGTAGCTTTCTGAGGTTATGCTCTGTCCCCCGATCCCTGAGCAGCTGCCTCTGTCTGTTTATCTCACTCAGTCACTTTAACTCCAGATTGAGTTGAATTGAATTGAAAGTAAAGATAAAGGAATAGTAACTTGAAGACATGCGATCTAGGAACTACACAAAAACATATTGAAGGGAAACAAGAAACATAGGAGTCATGTCATGGTTTCAGTGCACTGGATTGTAGGAAGTCAGAACCTGTACTCCAATTCTGGTTCTGTCATTTGCTAGGTGTAAGATTCTGAGCATGATTTTTGAACTCTCTGAGCCTCAGGGCCCTCTTCCATAAAATGGAATTCACATTGGTACAACTTCATGCTTTGGGTTGTATGAGGTGAGATACCTTATAGAAATGATGACCAAACAGAGGCAACTGTAAATGAAAGATCTTTTATTTCCCCAGTCACTGAGGGGAGACTGTTACTGGTTGATTTAGGATATGGGAACAGAGATATTAACAGTCTTCATTGAGGGACAGTCCCACACAACGAAGAATTGTCATATGGCAGATGTCAGTAGCACTCCTATTGAGAAACATTGCACTTTATGAATATGTTTTGAAAATTTTAACATCTAACATGAAAAATCACTCCGGTGCCCATCAATTAATATGTGGATTTCATTGACAGGGAGGGGTCTCTCTTCTTGTGTTCTGTGACTAGTATGCCTTGAGCATAATCCTAAACTTTTCATTTTCCCCCAGGAAAATGGACCCCAAAACAACTATTTTTAAGTTTCCCATCTTCTGTTTTCCATGCCACCAAATAAATGAATAAATCTCAATCTGTGTAAATCTCAGGAGTTAACAACTGGTAAGAAACATATCTCAGAAAAATGGTGATTAGAATCATGAAATGAAGCTTGTTAAAATGTGTTTTGAGCCCATTGGAACACAGGAGTTTTATAAAATACAAGATGGTATTGTTTTCCCCCAAATGTGGGTGCCTCCGTGAGTTGTACTGTTGACAGGTTTACATTTTACAGCAGTGCATGAATGGCACGAGAAAAAACAAAAGCATCTGTAATGTATCTAGGGTTCTTTTCCAATAAGTATATTTTTCTATTATAAAGAGTATTAAAGTCACATTATAGAAAATTTGGAAAATAGAGAAAAGAACAGAGGAATCATCTATAATCCTTCCACTCCTAAAATAACCACTACTAAAATGTTGATGTATTTCTTTTTAGTGTATTTTACTTGGTATATTCTCAATTTTCACCAACAGTTTTGTCACTGAACATTACATCTAATATTTATATGATTCCTTTTGAAATTAGAAGTTGTTTTGTGATAAATGTTTTTATGGTTGTAGGCTTTGGGGGAAAATTGTAGGTTCTCCCATTTAAATGACTTTGAACTTAATGATGTGTTGTCCCTTAAAGCAAACAATAGGGAAATTAAATTTTCAGCATCAAGAGTTGTTTGTGTTATACTCTAAAGCCCCATTTTTTTTTCCAACTTTTAATCCCCTAGAGTTACATGAAGGAGCAGAACTATGGGAAGCAACATCACACTAATTTAGTTTTCGTGCAGAGAAAGATTCTAGTGCTGGATTCAGATATTTTTGTGCGCAAATAAAATCTCCAGAGACTTTGTAGCTTAGTGAATAAAGGATTGGCCTCCAACCAAACCCAACTAAATGAATTTGGTGGTCTCAGCTGAGTTTCCAGCAAGTTTTAGCTTGCATTACAAATTCATCATGCACAATTACGTGCAATTTGGCACAACTTCCAATCCCTGCTTAGTAGAAGCCCTCTGTTTGGGACTGAAGGGGAGCATAAAATACTTCTTGTGCCTAAAGGGAGCAGTTCTCTTAGGTCAAGGTTGTGTTACATATGGAAAGGGATAGGGTAGAAGTGTTGTCAAGCCCAAAGAATCCAGGAATACGTGGGTACTGAACATTAACTGTGTTTACCATTTGAAATTTCTCACTCTGAAGATCTTCATTCAAACAGAAGATGACAGTTCTGACACCAATGCGCACATAGATTCTCTCCTAGTTAAAATTGGCACAGGTGAGTTAAGATCCATACAATTTTGTACTCACCTAACACTGGAATATAGAGCAGAATGCAAAATCAGCAGAATGCAAAATTAGAAGGTATTTGGGAAAAAACTCAGACCTGATGAGGTGCCTAATACGTTGGAACAAATATATTATGAATCTCTAGAAATATCAAATATGTCTAGTATTGCAGTAATGCAGAATAATTATTTGATTGAACATAGGCCAACTCAGGAAATGAAAATTTTAGCAATTAACTTTCTTTCCATGGTCCAGTCTTCTTACATTCCATATATTCAACTTGGATTTGTTTTAATTATTTAGAGAGAAGTATATTGAATAGCTGAGTGTTCCTTGCTTTGTGTTCTAGTCCTTAAGGAGCTGGCATTTTGCTGGCAGTTTGCTCCGTATAAGATGAAATGTATAGATTCCTAAACATATAACCATAATTCATAATCAGGGATTGGACAGCGAAACACCATCAAATGACATTCATTTTCTAGGTCTGGGTGGCAAGGTAAAGCCAGTCTGGGAGTGGTGCTAATTGATAAATCAAGATTTGATTTCCTTCTCTGAATGAGTCTTAAATCAGTGTCTAATTTAACCAAAATACTGAGACTAGAGTTTGTTGGTAGTTATACAAAACCTAAAATAGCCTCTGCTGATTGCATTATCAATAATTGAAACTTAATGGAAACCAATGAACTGTTGATTTCTCTAACAGAGCAAAGAAATCCAACCAAGTAGCCAAAGGAAAATAATGCAGATAAGCATAATGTTGACATTTCAACTCTTATTCCAGAAAACACTGGCATGGATATTAAACAGATTGTCTTTCTAATTAAGAACAAAAGGACTCAAGCTAGCCAAGAGGGCAGAAGTTGATACCAGAACTTCCTCTTTCAGTCTCACACCTAAAAGTGTTATGGGAGACAAAGCAACTGATGATGGAAACAAAAATATCCTAAGGCAGTTGGTTGAGTGGCAGCTGTAGCCATCTCATATCCTGGGAAAAGTTAGTACCTTTCTGTCTAGATGAGGTGTTGACTGAGGGACCTACACCACTCCCACCAGCCAACACATCAGGCATCCTGCCACAAATTGTTGGCCATAGCTAATGTGATTCTTCTGAGGTCTCTCCTAAGTAAACGATCATAAACTCAGTTGTGTAGGGCCAATTTCTTATTTGCCTATTATAAGGTGACCAGCGTATACAGGATTTAATTAATTCTTTGGGAGACAGCATGGAAAGAACTTGGGCTTAGAAGTCAGATTAATGTTCAGCCTTGCCTTGTCTCTGCTAAGCTGTGTGACCTTAAGTTAAATTATTTAACTTTTTGTGGTTTGGTTTGTTCATACTTAAAACAGGAATAGATAATTCCTGACATTTTTAGTGAAGAATGCTTATAAACCACTTAACATAGAACTTGGCACGCAACTGCAGGTATTATAGATGAACTTTTCAATCTTGCTGTAGTGCTTATGGTGAGTCCGTGATACAGAAAGGCAATATATAACAAAGCCCTTTTGATTAATGCTTGAGGAAGAGGAAAATCAGAGCTGAGAACTCCTCTTTTCTTTTTTTTCTCTTTAGAATATTATCTGTGTAGATTTTTTTTTTTTTTTAATTTTTATTTTACTTTAGGTTCTGGGGTACATGTGCATAGGTGTTGTTGCACAGGTGCATATTATATCCAGCATTTCTCCCCATGTTATCCCTCCTCACCCTTCCCACCCCATGATGTCCATCCCCTAGCCCCCCCCACCAACTGCCCCAGCCTGTGATGTTCCTCTCCCTGAGTCCACGTGTTCTTATTGTTCAACACCCACCTATGAGTGAGAATATGCGGTGTTTGATTTTCTGTTCTTGTGTCAGTTTGCTATGAATGATGGTTTCCAGATTCATCCAAGTCCCTACAAAGGACACAAACTCATCTTTTTTTATGGTTGCATAGTATTCCATGGTGTATATGTGCCACATTTTCTCCAGTCTACCATTGATGGGCATTTGGGTTGGTTCCAGGTCTTTGCTAGTGTAAACAGGGCTGCAATGAACATATGTGTGCATGTGTCTTTATAGCAGAATGATTTATAGTTCTTTGGGTATATACCCAGTAATGGGATTGCTGGGTCAAATGGAATTTCTATTTCTAGATCCTTGAGAAACCGCCACACTGTCTTCCACAATGGTTGAACTAATTTACACTACCACCAACTGTGTAAGAGTGTTCCTATTTCTCCACACCCTCTCCAGCATCTGTTGTCTCCAGATTTTTTAATGATTGCCATTCTAACTGGTGTGAGATGGTATCTCAATGTGGTTTTGATTTGCATTTCTCTAATGACCAATGATGATGAGCATTTTTCATGTTTGTTGGCCTCGTAGATTTTTGAAAAGTGCCTGTTCATATCCTTTGCCCACTTTTGAATGGGGTTGCTGGTTTTTTTCTTGTATATGTGTTTTAGTTCTTTGTAGATTCTGGATATTAGCCCTTTGTCAGATGGGTAGACTG